AATGTAGGCTCTCAGGAAAGGTTACTCACTTCCCTGCCCTTTGCCCCTAGTCTTACACTTCTTATTCTCTTCAGGTACTTCTCCAATTCCCTTTTGAAAACCATGATTATATCTGTCGCCATCTCACACTCATTCAGAGCTATCTAGAATCTGAACATATAGGATTCTTAAGGGGTAGCTTGACAGGGTAAATGCTGAGAGGATGTTTTTCCTCATGGGAGAGTCAGAGGGCACAGTCTCAGAATAGAGGGGTACCAATTTAAGACAGAGATGAGGAGGAATTTCTTGTCTCAGAGGAGTGTAAGTTAGTCAATGGAACTCCTTGCCACAGAGAGCTGTGGGGAGGAGTCACTGTGTTTCTTTAAGGTTGAAATAGATAGATCCTTGCTAAGTCAGGGAATCAAGGCTTACAGGGAGCAGCGCAGTGAAGTAGAAGGGAGGTGTGTCAGATCAGCCATAACCCTATTGAACAGTGGAGCAGGCTTGAGGGGCCAAACAATCTATTCCAATTCCTATTTCTTGTGGTCTTAACGACTGATTGCATAGAAAAGCTGACTGGTTTGCAATAATGAAGGACAAATACAGGAAGAAAAGTATTAGATGGAGAATTAAGATGAAGGTGAACAGAAGTAGGCAATCTTACATAAAGAGTGAAGAGAGCTGGCCGTCACTCAGGGGTGGTCTAGAAGCTGCCTACAACGTAGAACCAGTAGAAAACTCTGATGCATCGTCTAACTTAAGTAAGAAGCACAGTTGCACTGTTTTAACAGAAAAAGGCTGAACTGGGGCTGTTTTTGTGGTTGTAAACCGTAATCCAACAAAAAGCAAGCAACATAAACAACAAACTACTTCAGAAGAAGTTGCTCACACACAGTTTAAGTGGTGTCATTCCTTGCACCTTTCTGGTATTCCCCATTGTGAGCGATGCTAGTCCTTCTTCATCGCAAACCTTAAACCCCACCCTCATGATGCACCATCCTCAATCAAACAAAGTGGTAGTTGTGGACAAAAGCTGCATTAATCCTTTAGGGTACCGGAGTATATTTCTCGGATGATTTGCTCGTTCACATTCCCCACTTCTCGGTGGGGAAACGCTTGACCTCTTGGAGGCAACAGAGCTTTGTCAGTACCTCAGCTACTAGGGTGGGCTTGAGCGAAATCCAATGTAAGCTTTAATAAATAATGCCTCTGATCAGGTCTCCATGAAGTAGGATTTGTATTACTGAGCCAAACATTTGGTGTTATAGCTTCCACCAGGAATTTTATCTTTCCCAGCAGCCGGCGGTGGGCATCCAAAATCTGGATTGATCCACTCCGGACTAATTTAGAAAACAAGCTAACCAGAAATTTAATAATGACCATAATCTATTTAATCTTGATTCAGGCTGGCTGCAAAAACTGATCACTAATGAAACTGCATTCAGATCCACAAACTGTGGACAAGCATCAACACATCAATGGCAGCCAGGATTAGAGATGTATGCCGCATTTTTATTTTCTCCTGGCTTTTGTTTGCAGTGGGATTGTACAAGGCACATTTATCCTGGCACAGTAAGTATGTGGAGAGGGGCGAAAGGCAGTGAAAGCAAATGGACTGCCTCAGGAGAAATCTCACTGTATAAATGGCTGATTAATGAGGGGAAGCAACAATCAGGAACCCCAGCAGGAGATTGAGCGAAATTATGAACTGTTTATTCCCAATGATGACTCCATTAAGAGCTTTCTACAGCAAACTGCTTTCACGGATGCTTTTTTATCCCCCCTTTCTGTGTGACGCTCACCCCTGATTTTCCTTAGGTTTGACGTGCTGTAGTGTTTGCCAAATCTCTCACCAGCTGAGAACAAATTATCGCTTAACTTCTGGCTGCAAGGAAAATATGCATGAGGAAATAGGTGCTAGGCACATTAACCTTAGATAATTGTAGTAAAGACTGGTGCAATAAACCTTCTTCCCACAGCACCCAAATATTGTTCCATCTTGGGAAGATGCAAGGAAGTCGGGTTATTAACCCTTAACTTTCCTGGCTGTCTAACATACAACATTCTCAAGATGTCTGACAGTCTTTATCCACGATTACTTGAGTAAACTGCTAATCTCGTCAACAGCAGGCATAATACAATGGCAGTGCTTGTTATTGTAAGGAGGGGTATAATTAGATGGATTAGTTGCTTTATTTGGACTGGGATTAGGATAGTCCCTTTGCACAGAGTATTCGACAGTTGGCAAACTTGTATGAGGAAACCTGAAAAAAAAGGGAGGGGGCATACTGCACGGGGGAGACATAAAAAGCATTTCCCTCATATAACGATATAAATAACACAGAAGAATGTTATAGAAGGTAACTTATAAACAAAATAATGCCTCAAATAATGCATGGACAGTTAGGTCAGCAACTCTTATTTGAGAGTAGCATCTTCAAAAGAGAGTAACTGCAGCTGTTCATGTGAGCTGCTTGTTTTCCAAAGGATTCAGGAACAGATGCATCATAATGTCTCACCATGAAATGTATCTTTGATGTAGGCAAACCCAGGTGAACAAAAGAACATGATTTTCAAGATGTTTTGGAGGGCATGGAAGATACAGAAACTGAAATGCTACTCTCTGCACAGAGTTTGACGGATAACCTAACCTGTATAAAGTTTGTTCCATATACTCCACCTTCAAATGTCTTTTGCTATTGAAGCATGTCAACATGGATGATGGAAGAAAGGCGGTCGACTAGCAACTGACCCATTATGCACTGCACCATCTTCACTACCACTTTACTTCAAAAACTCTTGGTTCACAAAACACGTCTTTAAAGCATCAGATTTTTTTTTTAAGGGGAGGTTGGGGAAGGCGTTAAATCTATTGATTTCTGCAAATACAAAGAGTTGAGTCTGAATTGGATGCGAACTATAGAATACAAATGAACTTCAAGCTACATGGTCTGGTCTTGCAAGTTGGCAACTTCCTCATGTAATCTGATAGCAACATTCTCAGAGCTAAGGTAACTCCAAAATTGAATGCTTGCGGCTTTATGTCCGCTTAGAATTGACCAGTCGAAGGCAAATAGTGCTGGCTCATTCTGCCATTACAGGCCTGAACTCATTCCCTGTTAACCCTCCTCAATCCTGCCTCTACCCTGGGTATTTCCTCTCCCGTAACTCTGGAAAGATGAGACTGGGAGATGCTCATCACCAGAAAGTGGGAGGAAAAGGAACTGGACGGTGACATGGTTTGTTGGAAACAAAAGACTGGAATTCCAAAAGTTGGAATACTGAATCCAGTGCTTCATTCACTTGTCTGAGCGCAATAACATATTCACAGTTAAAACAATGCCATTCTTCTATCATGATATAACACAATAGTGTATTCATTACATATGTTAATTGTCACTTATTTTGAGAGCAACAATGTTGCACCAATTTCTATACCGCATTGATCTGGGATCCAAATAACACTTTAGATATTTACATGTCTAGCTTTTACACAGCAAATGTCATTCCAAAGAAAAAGCTCTCTCTGAGGTCTATATGAATCTTATAGCCATATGTACAGGAGAAATCCGGAACCATTGCCCTCAAAAGGTGACGGATTCTAGGACTGGAACTTTCAAGACTGAGATTGATAGATTTGTGTGAGATAAAGGTATTGTAAGAATTGGTGCTAGGTTGGGATAATGGAGTTGAGATGCAGGTCAGCCACAGGGAGACTGGAAAAGCTTGGATTATTCGCAGATAATTCTTATAGCAGAGATGGTTCAGGGGAGATTTTATAGAGGTGTTCAAAAGTATAAGGGGTTTTGATAGACCAGATGGGGAACATCCGCTTCCATTGACAGGAGGACTGGTAATCACAGAACAAGTAAATTAGCAAGAGAAACCACAGGAGTGATAAGGAGACAAATATTTTACACAATGACTGGTTATGATTTAGAATGCACTTCTGAAAGTTCATTGGAAGCAGCTTCATTCGCTACTTTTTAAAAGGGAATTAGAGAGAAACTTGAAAAAGGAAAAGAAAGTCTATGTTTTTGGGTAATAGCTGAGGTTGTTAGGTAGCTTTTTTAAGAGCCAACAAAATAGGCTGAATGTGCTCGTTCTGTGTTGTTAAGACTGCATGATTAAATTGAATGATGCTGAACGGCCTTCTCCACTTCCTCCATTCACTTCCAGCTTTTTCTCCAAGGAACCTTAGTCCTGAGCAACACATTGGCATAACCGAAAATAATTTTCCCATCATCAGTGACAAAAGTCCAACACTTTGTTAATAATGAATTATCAGTGCCTAACAGCACACCTGATAACAATTCAAATTTGTCCCAGTCATCACTTGTTGGCCATTAGTCTCCGCAACATACCATGCACAACACCTTTCAGCACGGGAACAGCACATGGAGGCGAGCAAAATTTGCAGTTTGGTAATGAATTTTACTCGAGTGTGGTAGTGATGCTGAAACATTAACCCGGTGCTCTACACAAATAATCCAGAGGCTGAGAGTTCAATTCTACCATGGCAGTTTGAGAATGTAACTTTACTTGTAAAGTAAATGAAAATGTAAAAGTGTGAAGCTGATGTCAGTAAAAGTGCCTGTGAAATTGCTAGGACAATTGTAAGAACCCAGTGGTTCATTCATTGCCTTTAGGAAGGAAATTCGCTGCCTTTACGGGGCTGTCCAATATGTGACTCCTGTCCTATACCAAAGAGGTTGAATTCTAATTGCTCCTGGAAACAAACCAAGCAGTCGCATCGATGAGTCATAAAGCGAGATTCTGTCATATTAGAGGCATCTGAAGTATGGGCAGTGGTGGGGAGACTACAGCAGGAACTGAAGTACAGCACTGTCTGTTCCTCAGAGGTGTTTGTTTTTCTATCTCAATAAGTAGCTACAGACAGACTAGTGCACAGAGAGTTGGATCACCCAAAACACAGTCACCATTTCACTTGCAGTGTATTAGCAAACATTACTGAGAACAGACTGGACGTTTCATCCTGCTACCAAAGCTACTGCCATTACCTGCAAATCAGTCTTCATTAATGAAGCACCAGCTTCCACAAGAAAGTGGCATATGGTTCGATGTCGGAGTGCCGCTGCTTTGTGTAGGACCGTCTCACCACTGCAAACAGAAATCATAAGTTCAAATTTATACTTCAAAATCTGAGGCCCTGCAGAGGGATCTGTCTCAACATGATTCCAGTACTAAACTTATGCTGCAGCGGTGATAATGGGCTCTCATCTTTCGAGCAAAGGTTCTGCCTTGTTATTTCACTTTGGAGATATTAACCTCTCATTCCTCTTTTCTTGTCACTCAGTTCCCCTGCATCAGAAGCCACAGCCTAATGCAGAAGCCTACAGTTTGGGGCCGAGGTTTCTTCTAAAGCTGTTCTGAGCCAGTTTTTGGAAGATGCGTGATCAGTAACGCAGGAACCATGCTTCATCTGGTCTCTGGGCAGCAGTCCTATAAAAGAGCGATAACTCAGCTCTATAGGAGAACAAATCAGTGCTTTTCACTGCTCTCTTTTTGTATTCTATTGTATTATTAGTATTAGACGTCAGACAACCATCAGTTGGTTAAATAGTGATCATTCCGCATGCCATTCCCTGAAAGATCAATGGGAGTGGCATTGTAAAATGAGTTAGGAAACAGTGGGCCACACAGTGGCTCAGTGGTTAGCACTGCTGCCTCACAGAACCAGGGACCTGGGGCTCAATTCCACCCTCGGGTGACTGTCTGTGCGGATTTTGCACATTCTCCCCGTGTCTGCGTGGGTTTCCTCCGGGTGCTCCGGTTTCTTCCCACAGTCCAAAGATGTGCAGGTTGAGTGGATTGGCCATGTTAAACGACCCATAGTGTCCAGGGATGTGCAGGCTAGGCGGATTAGCCATGGGGAATGCAGGGTTACGGGGATAGTGTGGGTCTGGGTGGGATGCTCTTTGGACCTGATGGGCCGAATGGCCTGCTTCCACACTGTATGGATTCTTTGATTCTATGAAATTGAAATGTTAGGGCCTAGAAAGTTGATCATCTCTGAAAACTGAAACCAAGAGGGAGGGAAACAGGACAGTCAGTACATTGCACGTTTGTTCACATGATCAACGCAAACACATATGAAGTTGGTGATCTAAAGGGTGAATCTCTCAGAACAGGCAGAACAGAATGTTTGTATTGGGAAATGCCTGCAAGACATGTACTAGGTTCCTAGGAGGGGAGTTATTCAGCTCCTTCCACAAGGCTGAAAATCAAGCTGCTCTCACTGAAACAGAGATGCAAGAAGTGATCAATGCTGGGAGCTTAGTTACCAAGGCACAGCTGCAGTGCAGAAAGACGGTCGATAATTTTAGCAGAGCTGTCAAAGAAAGAACAAAGGCTTCTCTCACCTGCGCCTTACTGCCTTCCCTGTTTCCCCACACAGACTACACCACAATTCACTTCACCACCTCCTCCTCCTCCTCCTCCCACTCTCGGATTCTGCACTTCCCACCATCACCCCAACTGGAATCCAGACCTTCCTACACTTAAGTTTCGACACAACACACAACTATTGTGACAACTGCATTCTCGGAGTACCGCACGAGATTGTCATTTACATTATAAAGGTATACCTCTATTTCCTCTTGCAGGAGAAGGTCACACACAGCAAGCACAGAGCAGAAACCCACGGCTGGATGGAGCCATCATGAGAAAGTACACAGTCACAATGTTGGTGACTGGCAGTCTTTACCTTACCATCTTTGTCTCTTCTCAATTCTATCTCACCCTACATACTCTGTAAGAAAAAAAATCTCTCGCTGCTATCCTTTCACACTGCATGTCAAAATACTTTCTAATCAACCGTTGAGAGATGTTATGGCATATATCTGGAGCAGGTGGAACTTGAACCCAGGCCTCCTGACTCAGAGGTAGGGATACTATTGCTGTGTGACATAAGGACTCCATATTAAAGATTAACTGTGGTCCCCTTCATTTGCTTCGGTTGCTGAAAGGTTTTCCCTGATCTACTTGAGGAAGAGGAAGCCAGTCTTCCTGAAGATACAGCATCACTTGCTCTGACTCTGAAAACCCCTTCTTCAGAGACAGACTGTCCCTGTGGGTAGTTTTATAAGGTTGACCAGAGGGGGCTTCATAAGAAAAAAAAACTTGATTAAACGTCTCATGGTGATGTGGAGTATAATAAAACCGAACGTGACACTGAGCTTTAGAAGGAAAGATCGGGATAGTGAGGCCTGGTCTCACAGATACGTTCGAAGGACTGAAAGAACAAGACAGAATGGTTTAGGGAGGAACTCAAGTTGTTAAGACTAGGGAGTCTAAAACATGGGCCCCAACAGTGCAGTGAAGGAAACTGGTGATACATACATAAGTTAGTGCGGAAGTTACTGCAGAGGGACAAAATAATAATGGAGAAAAGGAGCTGAAATAAACCTCACAATCCAACAACTAATATGTAAGGCTTGGGAGAATACTTTAATGCTACTACAGGATTCTCGTTGCCATGGTATACAGAGGGAGTTTATGAGGTGATGAGTCAGTGCTGGGCCAGTCCAGTTACACAAAAGAACTTAAGATGAGCATAGGGTCTTTCTTTAAATATTGTACCAAACATTTTTAATGTGATTTGAATGTCCATACAGGAGCCTGAACACAGTGGCCAGTGTAACTCCAATAAAGGAATTAGTCAACTGCCAGACTTTTGGTCATGCCCTTTGATGACGTAGCTGTGAACAAACTGCAGACTCCAAATGACTCGGGTATGTGTTGTTTGGGGGTGATGATAGAAGCACCAAGTCCTACCACTTATTGTGGAATGTCCATTACAACCTCATTTTGAGTCGTTAAACTCAAGCGTTTAATTACAAATAATGCAGAGCAACTGACTTCAACAATAAAGTTAAGAGCTCTTCTGTTTAGAGAAAATAAAGTGTTTAAACTTACTTCTCCTTCTCTGTTAGGTCCAGTATCTCTGGAGAGGCTGGGGAGAGAGACCAAAGGAAGAGAGAAAAAGTAAAACATTACGCAATGCACTCAGGAAGGTTGCTCAATAGAAAGTTCAATCTCAATCCTGCTTTCATCAGGTAATTGAGGATTAACATGACCCACGTCCAGTGTACTGAGTGCAAAATCCTTCTTTTAATGGCACCTCACAGGTCAAAAGGGTGGCTGAGTGGTTAGCACTGCTGCCTCACAGCGCTAGGGACCCAGGTTTGATTCCAACCCTCGGGTGACTGTCTGTAGGGAGTTTGCACGTTCTCCCCGTGTCTGCGTGGGTTTCTTCCGGGTGCTCCGGTTTCCTCCCACTGTCCAAAGATGTGTAGGTTAGGGTGGATTGGCCATGCTAAATTATCCATAGTGTTCAGGGATGTGCAGGCTACATGGGTTAGCCATCGGAAATGCAGGGTTACAGGGATTGGGGGGGGTGGTGTAGGATTCTATGACCTAAGAGAGGATGATTGCTCTGATTAGTTAAATTACCCCATTATTATTGCAACACTAGATGACCAAGATGATTCTAAGAGAGAGAGATAAACCAACTGGGGCTAACCAACAGCATTATTTAAATCAAGAAAAGCTGCAGAAAGCTGCAGCACAAAGGGACATGGAAGTACTTGTTCAGGAAACACAGAAAGCTAGCACACAGAGTGCAGCAGGTAATCAGGAAGGCTAATGGAATGTTGGCCCTTATTTCAAGGGTGTTGGAGAATAAGAGTAAGGAAGTCTTACTGCAACTCTAGAAGGTTCTAGTGAGACCACATCCGGAGTACTGTGAGCAGTTTTGGTCCCCTTCTTTAAAGAAAGATATTATTTCATTGGAGGCATTTCAGAGAAGGTTCACTCGGATGATCCTGGTGTGGAGGGATTGTTTTAAGAGAAAGGGGTAAACAGGTTGGCAGTCTACTCACCGGTGTTGAGAAGAAAGCAAAGTGATCTTATTGAACCATACAGGATTCTAAAAGGGCTTGACAGGGTAAATGCTGAGAGGATGTTTCCCCTCATGGGAGAGTCTAGGACCAGAGGGCATAAACTCAGAATAAAGGGGCACCAATTTAAGAGGAAGATGTGGAGGAACTTCTTCTCTGAGAGGAATGAGTGTCTTTGGAACTCCTTGCCACAGAGAGCTGTGGAGGTAGATTCCTTGTGTATATTTAAGGCTGAGAAAGACAGATTTTTAATCAGTTGGGGAATCAAGGGTTACGGAGAAAGGGCAGGAAACTGGACATGAGGAATGTCGGATCAGCTATGTTCCTTCTGAACAATGGGTCAAGATTGACGGGCCAAACAGCCAACTCCTGTTCCTCTTTCTTATAATCTTATGAGAGAAGCTGAATTAGAATGACTCACAATTACTATTGCTCATTTTCACTTGTTTCTCATGAGGCATGGTTCCAAACCCATGGTGAAGTGACTAGTGCCAAATGAGCCATTCATGTTTCTACCAAGTGGTTAAACATAGAATGAAACATGCTTCATATAAGCCAATGACGATTTCCCCCAGTAACTTTGAAACAAAATTAACTGATGGTAAGGACATGACATTTACAATGGGCAGCAGTCGGGTCGGCAGGGTTTCGAAGAGGGTACTTTGCAGTTGATTAGCCTCTTACCATTGTCAAGGATATACTTCACAATCTCCTTGCTTCCCAAGGTGACAGCGTGATACAATAAGGTGCGGCCCTCAGAATCGCGAAACATTAGGTCGGCCCCGGATTTATGTAATTCCCGTAACTGTAAAATTAATGTACGCACAGTGTAGATTATATATTCTGTACAATGCAAAGGAGCTCAGTTCACTGGAACTGGATGAACCTTTATACATTAACAGTGAATGGGAAGGAGATTAGTGGCAGCTTACACAATCCAGCTGCAGATGCTTCATGAGGTAATACTGTTTTTCATCTAGTCGTCCTGTACTTGAGTTTTGTCCTGTGTATCTTCCCTAATGATGTGTTTCAAGGTTTCTCTCTTATACTAGGCTAAACTTGGTCTTTGCTCCTTTCTGTTCCATTTGTCACTTCAATACTTAATGTGATACTCTATAGTCCAGCACTCCTAAAAGCACCACTAAGTTATTGGCAGTGTTTCCTCAGACTGAATCATGGACTGCTACTTTTACTGTCGTTTTAGCTGTTCTGCTCAATGCCTTCACCAGACTTGCCGACGCTAAGCAGCTTTTGAAGGCATTTGAGGAAAGAGCCAACATGATCAGCTGCTCCCAGAACAGTGTCACCACTATGGATCACACAGTCTGAAATTTTCCATCCATTAGTTGTAATGGTTGGAACATCAAGGGCTGTCCACATAAGATGCACTGTCAGTGAGTACTTAGGCCTTCCTTTCAAACTGAAAACTATCCCACTCCTCCTTTGAGGTTTGTATTGTTGACCTTATTATAGCCGTAGTCAATAAAACTGTTGCCAACGTTCCTCCCTCAATCAATACTCTCCCAAGTCCAAGTGAGCTGCTTAATTCACCTCACTGCTGTTCAAGGAATCATCTTCCATGCAAAATTGACCCTGCAGTTCCTTTCCTTAAAATGTCTTTTTCTGCAAAGTATGTTTTTGAGTGACATGATAAAGCACTTACAAAATGGAAGCATAATTTCCTTTATAAAATGGAGGTGACCCAGTAAGAACTTGAGCAAAATAGGAAATAATTATCTGTTACTGAAAAGACTTCACCTATGAGGATCGCTTCGCATTAAAGCTATATTTTAAATTGACAATATATAGGGAACAATACGAGGAGGGTCCTTTTAAGGACCACAGTAGTAACTTGTGCATGGAGCCGGATGATCTAAGTTGGGATCTAAATGAATACTTTATGTCGGTGTTCACTAGTGAGAGGGATGACAAGAGTAAAGAAATCAGGAAGAAGGGCTGTGAGATACTTAAATAACTGATAATTGCTTTCTGACCTGAGGCGAGATGCCAACGGGTCTGGAAGTCAGCTGATGTGACATTGTTATTCAAGAAGGGAACAAGGGAGTCAATTCGGAGGGACAAAATTCATCTGCACTTGGAGAGGAAGTAATTAATCAAGAACAGCCAGCTTTTTTTTAAGTGGAGGTCGTGTCTGATCAACTTGCTTTTTATTTTTTGAAGAGGTAACCAGGATGTAGATGAGGGCAATACATTTGACATAGTCTACTTGGATTTCAGCAAGACTTTTGATAAAGTCCCACATTGGAGACTGATAGCAAAGTGAAGAGACCAGAATGACCAAGGAAATTTGGCTTATTGGCTCCAGAATTGGCTGAGTATGTAAGAAGCAAACAGTGATATTTGAGAGATAGTAGGAACTGCAGATGCTGGAGAATCTGAGATAACAAGGTGTAGAGCTGGATGAACACAGCAGGCCAAGCAGCATCAGAGGAGCAGGAAGGCTGATGTTTCGGGCCTAGACCCTTC